TGGGCGCTCCATGTGGTCCCAACCAGGAGCCTCTACACAAGCTAGGAATCTCCCCTTTCCCCGCTCCATGCAAAGAGTAAAACTGTTTCTTGTAATCCTCAAAATATATATACATAATTAAATGTGAATATATGAATCATGAGGAGGGGATATGACTGATGAGACTTGGTTTTCCCAATCTGTAAATGGTAACAATATTGAGAGAATTAGGGGAGTCACTAAATGCAAGAGCTTGATGGAGCTAGAGGCAGGTATGAAGGCCTTAATCAGCGATGGCTATTGTTAACCACCTTTGAACCAAAGGATTTCACTAGATTGGATTTTGTTCCTGTTCATCAACTCTGTTTTGTAAGCAATCCAGGCTTTCCTTGACTCTGCCCTAGATTTACCTCCTCTCCAAATCTCATCAGTGCTAATGTCTGACCTTCCCTAGGGCAGACCCCTCATCGCCATTACAATGAAAGCTGTTTTGCCTTTCTTAATGTTGTAATTTACCCTTGGTGGAAAACTGATCAAAAGCTTAAAACTAAAGGAGGGGAAAAGGTAGCTACCCCCAAAACAACCTTTTTTTTTTTTAATCTTCTGGTTATTCCAAAACTTTTCTTAAGAATTATCTCAAAGTTTTGTGTGTGTGTGTGTTTTTTTTTTTAAGGGCTAAAAATATCTTCGGTCCCTGGTGTGCATGGAGTCCAAGGCATATTCTCAAATTCCCAGATTTTGTTACTTTGACCCAGGTTAACCTAAAGATGTTTTCTACCCTTGGAAGCACACGCTCGGGACAAAACTTCCAGACTTCAAGTGTAAGGGCACTTTTTGTTGTCATTGTTGTTGTTTTTAATGTTTATTTTGAGAGGAGAGAATCCCAAGCAGGCCCTTGGTGGTCAGTGCAGAACCTCATGAGGGGCTGGATCTCACAAATCAGGACATCAGGCCTGGAGCCGAAGAAATCAAGAGTTCTGATGCTTAACCAACTGAGCCAACTTGCCCATAAGGGCAAGGACAGTTTTGTGTGTTTCATTCGCATTGCAGAATTTGGGTTCCCAACTCTCCAGTTTACATTTCCGCACACGTTCATTGCAAACTGATTGAAGGGTGCACTAGCCAACGGCAATTTGAGGGAACCACACCTGCTGGTCTATAAAGCAGACTCAAGACTACTAAATTCAGGAAGACTGCACCTTAACAGATCAGCAAAAAGAAAGTGTGCCAATCATCTCTGGGTAAGCTTGTGGAGAAACTGGCAATATTGCTGCTGGGGGTGAAATTACCCCTCTGGATGTCAATTTGGTAATATCTACCAAAATTACATATATTTTTTCCTCTCTGGACCAACAATTTTCCCTAGAATTTAGCCTAAAGTGTACTCGCAAACTGGCAAAACAATGACCTTCAAGTATTCACCAGACTTATGTAAAATTCAAAGATTGGGAACAACCCAAAAATCTTTTGATGGAGAACCAATTAAATGGAATAATGCCCGGGTATAAGGAATGAGGGAAATAATCTACATTTCTATTGTAATTGTATTAAAAAAACCAACACAACTCTGGGAGAGGACATAGATTTTTTATTTGGGGAGGGTAGATAAATGGATAATAATTTTATAATCCTATAAATGATAGGAGGGAGACCTTTCTATCATTTTGGGATTTTGATCCATATGACTGTAGTACCTATTAAAAACTGGCAAGTAAGTGTTAAATATTAGTGTTACTAAAGAAAATTCTGTTTATTCAAAGGTAACAACCAGTACTCTCCCCTTAGTCCATAGTTCTCATTACATTGCAACTGTTCACAGGTTTTCAAAAATATCCCACCCAATGCTGTTCCATTAAAAATGTGCCCAAAGCCATAGAGAACCACCATGAGGTGACCAGGATCCACTGGCAGCTCCTCCCCAGAGCCTGAGATGCCACTTGCTCACAGCCTACCTCATCCCAAATGAGCCCCTCCCCAGTCTATGGAGGCTTGGGCCCTGGTGTTGCCTCTGGTGCTGGCAACCAATGATTCTGCCATGACAGACCATAAGCTCTCCTTGCCTGCAAGGACCACACGGGCAAGGCAGACCCAGCTTTGTAAATAATCAAGCCCTCTTACCACGTGGAACTGCACCAGCTTCCCCTCCTGACACTTTAAATAGGAGGAAATTCATTTCTCTGTGTCTAGTTCTTCAAAATCAGAGGTACAATTGTTTTAACAATGATTTTTGGGGATGTGGGAAAGAGGAGACTGATTTTTCCTCCAAATGCTTGGGCAGGAGCTGCTTTCTGACCAGAGTATTGGTACAATTCTCAAGGTTGTAAGGGAGGATGTCAAAATGCCAATGATCTCTTGTTCTAGTCTCCAAATGAACTTCAACAGTGTGCCAAAATGCACCTTTGTTTTCCCGGTTACCCAAAAGGTGTATGGTGTGCTGAACACCCCAGAAAACAGCACGAGCATCCTGCGTTTCCTGAAGACAGAAAAACAATGCCCTTTACAAAGGACTTCCATGGTTTCTCCCATTGAGTCTTCAACAAAGAGAACCTTAAAGGATCGGGCTGGAGGCTGGAGGCCAGGAGGGGAGCAATCTAGTTCCAGTCCTGCAACGGATGAAGAGCAGCCTTCCTCCTGCATTCAGGAAGTATTTATTGAATGCCCATTGTATTGGGCATTGTTCTAAGACTTGACATTGTCTTGGCTTATTTAGTCCTCACTATGATCCATTGAGATAGTTATTATCCTCATATTACAGATGGGACACTGAAGCACAAAAGCCAACATGCTCATGGCTCCCAACCTAATAGGTAGCTGAAAAATTTCAAACCCAAGCAGTTTAGCTTGTATTGGTGTCTTCTAAAATCACCCTTAAACACTCTATACCACATACTGTCTGTTTGAAAAAAAAATCCCTCCCTTGCTCGAGTTTACATTCTAGTGGCAGAGAGGAAGAAAATGAGCAGCTAACACTGTCAGTCAGATTTATAAATGCCATGAAGAAAAATAAAGTAGGTTAAGTAGAGACTGTGAAGGAGAGGACTCTCCAGAGGTGAACATGGACCACCTGAGAGAAGGGAGCAGAACCATTTGAAAATGTGAGAAGTGTTCCAGGCACAAGAGAGAAGATGAAAGCCCTGAAGCGGTCCAAAATAGTTTGCTTGAGAGGCAGCAACAGGATAATAAACTAGATTATACAGGGCCTTACAGATCAGACTAAGGAGTTAGGGTTCTTGGATGGAAAACTATGGAGAATTCTGGAGTCCCCCCTTTTGAAGGAGGGGCCGTATAATTAATACTTTAAGAATTAAGACTGGCTGAAAGACAAAATGGTGGGGAGGGGGGGCACCTGGGTGCCTCAGTGGTTGAGGGTAGGACTTCAGCTCACTCAGGTCATGATCTCACGGTTTGTGGGTTTGAGGCCCACATCGGGCCCTGTGTTGACAGTCCAGAGCCTGGAGCCTGCTTCAGATTCTGTGTTTCCCTCTCTCTGTCCCTCTCCAACTTGTGCTCTGCCTTTCTCAAAAACAAATGTTAAAATATAATAAAAACCAGGGCGCCTGGGTGGCTTAGTCGGTTAAGCGTCCGACTTTCACTTAGGTCATGATCTCGCGGTTCGTGGGTTCGAGCCCCGCGTCGGGCTCTGTGCTGACTGACAGCTCAGAGCCTGGAGCCTGTTTCAGAGTCTGTGTCTCCCTCTCTCTCTCTGACCCTCCCCTGCTCACGCTGTCTCTCTCTCTCCTAGAAATAAATTTTAAAAAAATATTTAAAAAAAATTTTTTTAAATATAATAAAAACTAACTGGCTGAAGAACAGGTTGTGAGATAATGAAAAGAGAAACCACTGAAACCTCTTCTCCTCCAGGAGTCCTGGCAAGGGAGGGTGGCAGTGGAGACAGCAGGGCTGGACAAAATGCAGGTGCAGTAGAGGCTTCAATCTGGGGTATTTTTTTGAAGGTAAAGATGACTGGGCTTGCTCCTGGATTTCATGTCGGTGGTGAGGTATCAATGACAGCTCCTAGTTTGGGGCCGGAACCATTGGGATAAAATGGTGACAACATTCATTTACTGATAGTGAAGGGGGTGCAGTTATCTGATGCACACGCCACCTTTGTCTCTTATGGAGAACAGCTGACAGCTTTCTCTCCCATTATTAGTCAATCTCCCTTACTATGTGTGGTGCCTACTATAAGTACCCTACATATGTAAACAGCTAAACCTCACAACTTCATATGGAGTCAGATACTATTATCTTCAAATTAGATACTGAGGGGGTTGAACAACTTGACTAAGGTCAGAGGGCCAGAAATCTCCTTAAGTGCTTAAGATTCATTCAGATCTGTGAACTGCCAAGCTAATCTCTAGTAGGGAAAAGTGTAGTCCCCATTCTGACTGTCCCTCCACCCTCAGACTTGAGTCCCACCTATGGTAATGCTTTCATCTACCTTCCCCAATTTCACTTACCCTTTGGTGGGCAAGTGCAGTAATTTTGTGTTAAGTGTGGTGGAGAATCCCAGAGGCCCTTTTAAGAGGTCTGTATGGTTTTAGTTTTTCATATTCCTATCTGTAAAGCTAACTTTTATTCACATTCCAACCTAAATAACATTCAGCAGCAGACTAATTCAGAGAACTCAGCTAGTGGTCTATTAAGTTTACATGTATAGAAAAGTACTACATTGAAAACATACTGGCACTTCTATATTTGCTTTGAAGAATATTTTTCACTTTACACATGTTAACCTATTATAGTTATTTTAAAAAGAATCCAGGTCAGTTCCAGACAATATCACATTTCCCTTGAGATTGACTGGGTTTTGGTCAAAGCTGCATCTCAGCCTGACTCCTAGACCCCCCCCCCCTTTTTTTTTTACCCTAACCAAGTGTGCTCTTGGATCTTTCTAGCTTTAAAGGTTTTAATTAAGGGCCACCTTGGCTGTGATCTTATCTCCAATATCTTCAACCAAACACCAAGGAGCTATTTATTCAAGATTTTATTCTTTAATTAACAAATTTGGGCGGGGAGGGAGGAGGGTGGAGGGGGAGGCATGGGTGGCGATGATAGGACTCAGGGGCAAAGGCAGAGACCACAAACCAGCCGGTTTTTCTTTGCCAAGTTGGAGCAGACTTTAAACCAGGCCAGATCATTCTAGCTCTGGCCAGTCTACTCTCTAAATCCTGCTTCCAGGTAGTTGGTTGCAAACCGGCTTCACTTCATCCAAGGACCTAGATGCAGGGCTTTCATGGCATCCTCAAGCTTGAGCATCCCTGCACCAGAAAGCAACAGATGTGCATGAGGGGAGAGGGTAAAAGCCTGGGCCTCTTTCAAGGTTCATTTCTGGGATTTCCCAGCCTGGTGGTCTGCGCGGGGGATTCTTGGGACTTCTCAGAAGGTGGGGCCGCTGAGCCCATTCCGATATCCCCCAAGAAGCTAGGGGGAGTGTTGCAGGGAGGAGAAGAGCGGGGTTCAGGTCTCAGATAATCTTTCCTTACGAGGCCCGCCCCAAGCGGCCTCTCTTCGTAGTCTTAATCCAGGGTCTCTAGGACCAAGAGACGGCATTACTGAGGGCCACCCCGGTGGTGCCTGAGGTGCGGGTGATGGTTGCAAGTGGAAGAGAGGAAGGGAGGGTTGAGAAGGGGTACAAGAGAGGGAGTAAAATCACCCATGCGTCCCCAGGCCTCTCACCTCGTTCCTGGCGCTGGCGGTGCCGCTCAGCCATGGACTGGAGCATCCACTTGGCCCTAAGCTTGTACAAGTAAGAGCCATAAACCACGATCTCGGTGAGGCCCGAGGATTCCAGAACCTTTAGCTCAAGCATGACTTTGCTCACTTGCTCAATGTACGGGATTCGAGATCCACCTACGCCTGTTTGGGGAAGGAGATGAGCGCTCAGGACCACGGAGACCGAGACGCCTGGGTCAGGGCTGGGCTCACTTACCAAATATAGCTTCCAAGAGTCGTGTCTGGACCTGAAACACCTCTGGGTCTTTCAAGTCGTCAGGAGCTCTTACCCAGGGTGGAATATCTTTTCGTCTCGGCAATGTCCCCATCTGCAGTGTCTCAAAAGCAATCACACTCCAACCTAAGCTAGGCCTAAGAGTCTACCGTGGCCACCGTGCGCGCTGGAAGTTGAGCACCCGGGCGGGCCCCGCCCACGGCAAGCCCCGCCCCCTGGCTGGTGGCCGAGGCTCCCAGAGGCTCCCACTCACAACGCTCGGCTGGCCCGCCTGCGCTTGGGTCGTGCACGTGACCATCTCCGTCACCTTACTCCCTCCCCAGCACAGGTGGGCCCAGCGGCCTCCGAGTTTGTAAGGATTTCCACCTGCGTTGACCCCTTTCCTCCACACCACAATCTCTCGGCCTTGGGAGTGTGTGGGGGTGAGGGTGATGGCAACTCTTCCCCTGGGAACAAGTGGTTGGCCCTGAACCCCGGAAAGTCGAAACTCTGAGGTTTGAAGGTGCGAGAACCACACGGGAGCTGCCAAATCAAGTTTTTGCCTCCCACGTTCCAAAGGAAAGTTCCATTTCACCTGCCCTACAGGGGCCAAACTCTGAGTCTTCACTGAGACCCCTACAATTTCTGGGGACTCGAATAAGATTGCTGCCATTTAACAAATGAGAGAAGGAGATTCGGAAACTATTTATATTCAAGGAATGTGATGGAGGGCTCTAAACTGCCCCCTACGGTTCACATTCCTTGAAGCCCATGAGTCTGGAACTTTTAAATCTATCCAGATTTCAGAGCTCAGGTGTGCCGCACCTGGCCATTTTGGCCCAAACTGTATGGTCCAGACTTCTGGTTCTAAATAGTTTTATTTAGGGGCGTCGGGGTGGCTCAATCAGTTAAGCATCCACCTTTGGCTTAGGTCATGGGCTCCCTTTCCTGAGTTTGAGTCCCGCTTTGGGCTCTGGTCTGATAGTACGGAGCCTGTTTGGAATATTCTCTCTCTCTCTCTCTCTCTCTGTCTCCCCCTCCCCGCCCCCACCTTCCACCACTTGTGCATGCTTGCTCTCTCAAAATAAATAAATAAACTTAAAAAATAGTTTTATTCATTTAGAAAGCATATTGTTTGTAGTTGATGCACTGGATCCATCCCATGAAAGTGTGATTTCAGTGTTTCATAGCTTCATAGATGGGGAGATGAAGCTGACTTTTCCCAAACCATGTTCTGGCAACATCCAAGCCTATGAGCTATAATGTCTGTTTCTTAGGGCAGACTTCTTCATATTCAGTCAAAAACTGGGTTCTTGGGGCACCTGGGTGGCTCAGTTGGTTGAGTGCCCGACTCTTAGTATTGGCTCAGGTTGTAATCTCAGGGTTGGTGGGTTCAAGCCCCATGTCTGGCTCTGAGCTGACAGTGTGGTTGGTGCCTTCTTGGGATTCTCTCTCTTCCTCTTTCTCTGCCCCTCCCCTTCTCAAAATAAATAAATAACCTTTAAAAATGTGGGATTTTAGCAACCACCAATGTAATCCATTTATATAATTATCAGTGGCTAAAATTATCAAATATTTAACCTATTCACAAGGTCTGGCAGGAATGACAAAGGAGAGAATGTTCCTCTACAATATAGAGTTGGAGGATAGATGCCACCTCAACCAAAGACCAGAATTAGCGTCACCAAAAGGACAAATGGACTACTGGTTTGTCAATGTCATGAATACAAAAATGAAGACTTTTATTAATAAAGAGACAATGAAATGTAATGCATGATTCAAATCCTGAATCAAAGGCAGAGATAGAACATTTTAGAACAATGGTGACTGTTTTTTTTTTAAGATTTTATTTTTAGGGGCACCTGGGTGGCTCAGTCGGTTAAGTGTCTGACTTCAGCTCAGGTCATAATCTCACAGTTCATGGGTTGGAGCCCTGCATCCGGCTCTGTGCTGACAGCTCAAAGCCTGGAGCCTGCTTCAGATTCTGTCTTCCTCTTTCTCTGCCCTTCCCCCACTCATACTCTCTTTCTCAAAAATAAATAAACATTAAAAAATTTTTTTAATGATTTTATTTTTAACTAATATTAAACTAATGTTAACACCCAACATGGGGGGGGCTCAGACTCACAACCTTGAGATCAAGAGTTACATGCTCTACAGACTGAGCCAGCCAGATGCACCCAGTGGGGACATTTTAATATGGACTGTATTGTAAAGTATATTTGATTATATGTTCTATAACACAGAACTTCTAGAATGTGACAAGTTTTTTTTAATTTTTAATTTTTTAAGATATTTATTGATTTTGAGAGTTGGGGGGGGGAGAGAGAGAGAGAGGGAATGTGAGTAGGGAAGGGGCAGACAGGAAGAGAGAATACCAAGCAGGCTCCACCACTGTCAGTGCAGAGCTCAACACAGGGCTTCATCTCACAAATCCTGACATCATAACCTGAGCCAAAATCGAGTCTGACACTTAACCAACTAAGCCACCCAGGCATCCCAAGTATTTTTATTATATAAAGGAAAGTCCTATTTCTCATGAGAAATATGCTAAAATATGTAAAGTGAAGTGTTGATATCTACAATTTACTTACAAATATTTCAGCCCCCTGACAAAGAAACCCTATCATTTTCTATGTATATATAGAAAGATAGCCAATGTGACAAATATCAACATTTGATATTTGTGAGGACATTTGTGAGGACATACAGAATTCTTTTTACCTGTCGTTTTTATTTTTATTTTTTTAAGTAGCCTTCATGCCCAATTTAGAGCTTGAACTCATGATTCTGAGATTAAGAGTCACATGCTTTACTGACTGAGCCAGGGAGCCTCAGTTCAAAACCTGTGGTTTTGAATTTTAATAGAAGGGGGAGAAGTAATTGTGTGTTAGGTAGCTAATAAAAAGTAACACTATTGGGGGAAATAAAGTATAACCCATCTCTTCAGTGAGAATTTTCTTTTTTTTTTTTTTTTTTTTTTTTTTTTTTTTTTTTTTTTTTTTTTTTTTTTTTTTTTTTTTTTTTTTTTTTTTTTTTTTTTTTTTTTTTTAGTTCATGTCTTTTATTGACCCATATATAATTACTTGTCTTCGGGTTTGTTGAAGCAGTAGGTCAGACAACATTTGCCACAATAATGTCTATCAAAGTGGCTAGCCATAAAAACTCCAGCACCACATTCATCCGAAGGGCACTCCCGACGAAGGCGACTGATTTTGCCATTCTCATCCACCTTATAGTATTTCAGGACTGCCAGTTTAACCTTCTTTCTCTTACGCTTATTCTTCTTGGGAGTGGTGTAAGACTTCTTCTTCCTTTTCTTAGCACCACCACGAAGTCTCAACACCAGATGGTGAGTGGACTCCTTTTGAATGTTGTAGTCAGACAAAGTACGCCCATCTTCTAGTTGCTTGCCAGCAAAAATCAATCTCTGCTGATCAGGAGGAATTCCTTCCTTATCCTGAATCTTGGCCTTCACATTTTCTATTGTATCCGAGGGTTCGACCTCAAGAGTGATGGTCTTCCCCGTAAGAGTTTTCACGAAAATCTGCATCTTGGCGGCGGTTCCACCGCAGATGGCGGATCGGAAAGGCTTCAGTGAGAATTTTCTTATCATGCTTTCTAAATACTTTTCCATATCTGCCCCCACAACATTTCTTTGGCTGGAAGTTCAATATAGTATGTATGCACGTATGTATTTAAAAACTTCTATTTTTAGGTATGCCTGGGTGGTGCAATAAGTTAAGCATCCGACTCTTGATCTTGGCTCAGGTCATGATCTCACGGTTCGTGAGTTTGAGCCCCACATTTGGTTCTGCACTCTCTCTCTCTCTCAAAATAAATAAAAAGAAACTTTTTAAAAATTTCTAAAAGCTTCTATTTTTAAGCAATCTCCTTACCCAACATGGGGCTCAAACCCACAACCCCAAGATGAAGATTCTCCTGTTCCACTGACTAAGCTAGCCAGTCATCCCACCAATATAGTATTTAAAGAAGCAGACAGAGGGGCGCCTGGGTGGCTCAGTTCGTTAAGCATCCAACTTCAGCTCAGGTTATGATCTCATGGTTCATGGGTCTGAGCCCCGTGTCAGGCTCTGTGCTGATGGCTAGCTCAGAGCCTGGAGCCTGCTTCAGATTCTGGGTCTCCCTCTCTCTCTTCCCTGCTCACGCCATCTCTCTCTCTCTCTCTCTCTCTCTCTCTCTCTCTCTCTCTCTCTCTCAGAAATAAATAAAACATCTTAAGAATAAAGAAGCAGATAGAGAGGCACAGGAATTATGTCCAACTTGAGGGTATTAGAGATAAGTCTGCATAACTATACAAACTTACTTCAAACTTGTCAAACTGGACAGACTTAGAGGATAAACAACTAGGACTTAAACTGTTGGTTCAAAAAGTATGACCATGAAAAAATACTAATAATGACTAATGTCCCTTCTAAAGAGCTCATGCACAATTAAATCAGCACAGGTGTCACATCAGCAGCTTATAAGCACTGGCTTCCTCACTCCTATTAATGATTCCCCCACTGTCTGCCTGACCACTAGGATAAATGACCACAGAAGCCTTGTTGCTGTTTCATTTACCCATTTTGACTGCAGATTCATGAACTTCTGGTTTGGGGGCCTCGTTGGCAAGTGGTGTGATTTACTAAGGGGAGTTATATCCCTGTCCCCCACCCCTCCTCAGAAAGTATGCCACTACCAACTCCTTCTTGTGTGAGGGATACCTTTCTTAATTTTATTATCTCCAGGATGCAATTATTTACATGTCTCTCTTTAGCTTCCCAGTCTGGCCCAGAGCAACTTTTGTAAGTACACATGAAATGAAGACACGGAAAATTCACTCCTCAATTCCAAACATTATGTGTTTGCAGCTTTTCCTTCAAAGCAGGTGGGAAGCCCATCCAGAGGCTCTGAAATAGCCACCACAATCACACCCATCATAGGCCCTCTCTCACTCTGAGTACTTAGGCTGCTGGGTAGCAGAGTAAAAAGTAAGAGGTTTGCAGAGAGCTCATGGATGTCCTCCATCATAGGCCTCAGAGGCCAAGCAGGTAAGTGCCTGGTGCAGAGAATCAGAGGTGCCGGAGGCACCCAGGTCTTGATCCCTGAGCTTTCTGGAAACTCCCAGCACATTCTAGTCAGCTACACATGGACCAGAATCCAAAGG